AAGGCTAGTTTTGGGGACTCTTTACACACTTTTGGGGCAGAAAATTATCTTTAAAATTACCTTTCTCATTTCAAAAACAAAAAAATTTTGCATCCCTCCCCTTTATTGTTGGGGGAGAGGGAGAAGCATGATGGCCCTCACTCTCCTTCTTTCTGGATCTTGCGAACTTTGTACATGTAAACAGTAAAACCAATCTGACTGACCAAGACTAACGCTTATCATAACCTATGTAAAATCGCAACTTGTGATACATGTAGATGATTTTAGCGTCAACTGCGAGTTACATGTAGCCTATACAGAGATATAGAAGTTGATATTACCAGAAAAAAAAGAAATATGGCTGGAGACAAAAGGTTTGTGATTCTGACTTCAAAATCGAAGAATAAACAACCACTTCAGTTTTCCCACTGTTGCTGATTTAATTCTTAAATAATTACTATTGTTTTTATATCCAAGATTCAACTATAAATTTCTCCCCTGCATACAACCAATATTTTGTCTTGTATTTCCTTTTCTTTTTCCAAAAATAGCATGCGTCTATACATAAATGATTAAATCTATGAATTAAGAGACGTCTCACTTCCTGTTGTAGGCCTTTAACAAAAAAAATTCCAAAATGCATATTTTGGCCTATTTTACCATTGCAAAACCAGCCAGCAGTGCCGACGTCCTGTTTGATGCCTTGAGCTTGGCCCGGCTGAGGTACAGGCGCCGCCAGGACAGCGCCTGTACCGAATGCTGGTTAGACATCTCGGTCACATAGGAGCGGTAGACCCAGTCCGAGTAGCTGCTGTTGGGCTGAATCTTGGCGGGTTGTGATGGGGGCCGCGTCGAGAGAGTTCACTGTGGCTGGCCGGTCGGCCTCTGGCTCAGCGGTCTCTGGGAAAGAGTCTACTCGAAACTAACGAGCCGCCAGTGCACTGATATTTGTTTGCTTTTGTTAAACGCCTGACCTGCTGGTTCTTTCCAATGCGGTCCTTGGATGAATGGGTTTCTTTTCAGTATACGCGGAAGAAACTTTTTTATGTATTTTGTTATGATTTTTTCCGCAGGTGTCGCAAGTACACACAGCCATGTAACGTGACGAGACTATACAACGGTGCAGCTGGCGCGCGGCCTTTAGTTAAATACACGTATAATACATGCGCAGCTAGCAGGTACTAGGTACACGTACATGTTCTTTTTAACTTTCTCGTTCTCAGAGTAACCCGTGAGCACTGGTGAATACCGCGCGGTGAGGTAAGTTAGGTACCATATTTTCCTGCCTTTTATGTGATGAAAAATCATACTTTTATATATTAAGGATCCAGTGGAAACGAAACGACGTGACCCATTTCCCTTCAAATTTGTTAACCTCTTTTTACTTTCTTTTAAACGTTGAAATCTGGGAACGAGTAAATTCAAAGGATGAGGTCTGGTCCCTACCTCAAGTTTATTTAAACGTATTGCATTGTTGGTTACAGACTAATGTCAAAGCAAAAGTGTGTACGTGACCGTGCGTGACCTGCATAAGGTTGCGTTTTTGTTTTGATTGTGCATCTTGTTTCTCAATTTTATGAGAAGATGAGCTGAAATGGCCTCGTCAAAAGACACCGGAAGAAGTCTGGTATGTTTTTAATTGAAGCCCCTATGTCTATTTGTAAATTTAGCTCATTACATGAACTTTATGTAGTTTGGCCTCGGATCAAATGGACAAATGTAACGTTACACTGAGTCGATTCACAATGGACTGGCCAGTTTCCGGACAAATTAGAAGAAATAGATTCGTCCTCTGCATTTTACAGAGTTCTCATTTGGGGCATTACCTACTTTCAAGACCAGCTACCGTATAAGTTGTGTAAAGGAAGATGGTCATCGGCTGCAGAGTTATCTTTGGACTGTGTGAATGTGCATTGTACATGTTGTAACTTGTAGGCCCTACTAAAAATTGAGTTTTTGGTTAGTGTGGTGTTTCCTGACGATGGCCTTTGGCTTTGCTGACTAAGTACGTGATTCAGATTGAGATTTAGGAGTGAAACCAAAGAAAATTGTATTGTAACATTAGAGCTTGGGGTTCAGACTAGGTATCCTGAAAATGTAAGGACTGCCTGATTTTAAGTAATATAATAAAATAGAAGTGTCATGTGATATACACACGTATCATGTGATTCACAGTCATTAACACTTTAAAATACTCAGGCACATGGTCATGGGTACTTTCTAACATAAACCTAAAAGGCCGTTGACCTTGAACTGATCATACTGAAACTGATTTGCTTTTGTTTCTTTGCTGGCACTGTGACTAAACATACGCAGTGAGTATTTGGGTGGACATGTACATTTTACATGTGACAAATCTCAATCCGGAATCCTGGAATTTAACTGGAAAGTTGATTTAGGAAAGACATTGGCACTTTTGAGGTAGGAAAATAATTGTACATTACTGATATTGTCTTTGCCAGAATTTGATCCAACCTCTACATGCTCTCAAAGCCAGCTTGAAATTCTAATCAGTAGGGGTTACAGTAAAAGTTCAACCTAGAAAATGGACATGAATTGAACAGCTCACAACTTTGGAGAGATTGAGCAAGAGTCCTTCAAATTGCAGGAAGTGACAAACGTTTATTTTGTTTTGAAACGTAACCTTTTTTTTTTCAAAATAATTTCAGCGTGTGAAGGCGAGGCGGCACTACAATGAAGGAGAACACCAAGATGATGAGATTGAAGGGAAAAGAACCTGGAATCTGGAAAGGAAAATCAATGATGAAAAGTTCACCACCAAATGGGTCAAAATTATGAATGGACAAGGTACTGTAGACACCATGTCTGCTGTAGCAGATGAATAGATCTTTCAACTGACCAAGTTGGGTCTCTGTTAATTGGTTGAGGAATGATAAAATTACTGATTTGTTTAATTTAATATCTGGGTTTGGTGTTGACTGATGTATAATTATTGCATTCATGGATAGTTTTCTGGATTTATTACTTTGTATGTGTTCTTTCCTTTTGTTTACACTTGGAACGTTGATGAATGTGATAAAACCCATTTGTTGACGCCTATCGCTCTTCATAATTCAAACATTGATAGAAGTGTTAAAGTAATTTGACATCAATATCTGTGAACAGGGTTCTCCTAATACACTGTACTATCTGAAATGTGCTTGCTTTACAGATTTTACCATCAAGTTTTTGCAAGAAGGGGGATTTGATACCCCCATGCTGTTTAAGAGTACCGAAGGCCTTGGCATGAAGTAAGTCACCTGGCATTACAAGTTGCACACCCTTTAAATCCATCCGCTTTAGCAGTCTGTTAACTCGCATATGAAAGAGAATGTTCAATTTAGCATCTGGTAACAGGTTTGTCAGGTCCCAACTGTGTCCAATGTCCCAACTGTGTTCAGTGTCCACTGGGAGCATGCCCAACTATAGTTGGGCTGAAGTACATGCACTTGATGGAGAAAAAGAACTTTGACAAGCGACTCAAAATACAGTGAAATATTAACTAATCATCTCAAATCCTCCAAAATCCGCATAGCCAACTGGAAGAATATGGTGGATTGAGGGCACGTGAGAATCAAGGCATTGGATGATTAGGAAGGATTGGGGACATAAGGAATGTCAGTCTCTGGAAGAATACGTAGGATCCAGGTTACTAAGCTCAGTGGACCACAGGAGGATTTTGGAGGATTCCGGTTATTTGTAACATGTCTTTTAATCCTTACTGCTTAGTAGTAAGATGTAGCATACAGCGCTGCTGTGTGTATGAGGACATGACCTTATTGTTCTCTGAAGTCATAAAATACAATAGATAAGACAGCGTACCATACAGTGCTGTAGCACTATGGATGCATGGCTTTATTGTTCTCTGTACGAGTAACAATGGAAGTGCCCTAGTCAGAAGTAGTAATTTGTACCATCCTAGAAGATTTTGGAGGCTTCAGGCAGCTGTGCCCTGTACTGTCATTGGAGGATTTTGTAGGATTCAGGTCATATGGTGCTTGTAACACTTCAGAATTAGAGGATTCTGCAGGATTCGGGTTACAGTAAGTGAAAAAAATGTTACTGGTCCTATTTCAGGAAACAAAGGCATAAGCTGGGCCAACACAGCCTCTTTTGATTATTACTGGGTATATGCTGAGAGCTTAATGGGTGCTATGTTTGTGGATGAATGTTTCTCGTTCTTTATGTTCTACTCGCAGGGTACCAGGCAAGGATTTCACAGTCAATGACGTCAAGCTGCATGTTGGTGAGTTGGGATGTGTCAGTGAGCCAGCTCAGTAGTTCAAAAATGTAAGGTCATTATGACAACGAGGCACCTGCCACCATGCCAGTCTGAGCATGTTCAGTGCGTGCCAGGACCAAGCTTGTAAAAAGTGTCCATACAAATGAAAGTAAAGCTGATTTACTGTCATTTTGATGTGCCAGGAATCTGAATGAGGGCTGTCAGAGGAATGAGAGTGAAAATGGATTGGTCAGTTGATAGTACAGAGCACTTGTGTACACATATTGTAGTTTGTAGTGTCAAACCAGCTCAACCCAGAAGAATGTAGCAAATCTGATGCCGTCTATTTATAGAGTTTTGGAGGGTCTGTTCATGAAATGATCAATTTATTTACTTAAAAATTCTTGTTAGTAAGACCTCATCACCTAGGGACATTTTTTGGTCCGTTTTCCACCATTACAGTAGAATTTAGAGATGGGAGACAAATCCGTTACCCAGTCTAGCCTGATTCTTGTGATCACTGGATATTAAAGCCACCTTTACAGGGACTTGTTGAGCCATTTTTGTCGAAAAGTGGAAAGAATTTCCTTATGGGCGCAAAAGACGGTTGAGAATGGGTTTTACTGGATGAGTCAGGGCTTACATAACGATGTGCTCAATTGACGCAGGGAGTCGGCGACAGGTAGACGTAATGGATGTCAACACCCAGAAGGGAGTGGAGATGAGCATGGCCCAGTTTGCCAAGTACTATGAGAGCAAGGAGCGGGACCAGCTCTACAACGTCATTAGTCTAGAGTTCAGCCACACCAAGCTAGAGGAGTTTGTCCAGGCGCCCAGTATCGTAAGGAGGCTTCAACATGATCTCAAAGTTTCTGTGCTAAGTTTTGTGAAGCCAAGTCTGTCCTGAGCCACCGTGGCTTATCAGGCCTAGAGTTCTGGTTTCCTAGGGACGAAATAGCTGCAAGTATGTCCTTTCCCCAGATGGATGAGATGCAAGACCGTGGCACGTTGCTCCCCTGTTAATGCCAGTACCCGTTGTCACTCCTGGGTGGAGAGAAGCAAGTAGGGTTGAAGTGACTTGCTCGAGGCCACAACTTATGGCCAGCAGCTAGATTTGAATCCCAGACCCTCTGGTCATTAACATATCTGGGAGAATTTTGATCAACTGCACAGGCAAACCAAGCTTGGGGACTGCCTGAAAAATGCATCACACCCTCCCAACTGCCCAACCGGTAGATAATTTTCCCCTATTTGCTTTAATTTCTGAAATGAAATTTCTCAAGATTTCTTTACCATTTCAGCCCAAAGTCGTTCACAATTGGTCTTGATTTCAGAAGAGAAATATAACTGCTTCTCTGGAAATCATTCAGACTGTACTTCCCCCCCCCCCCAAAAAAAAATTGACTAACCCCAAAATATTTAGTCTAGGGCTTTATATATCCTGACTTTCATGCTAGAAAATAGCGAGTTTGTAATTAATTTTCTTGTTAAAGTGGTCTCCAATTAACTTTTTGACCCCTACAATTGATACCACATTTGAAGGTGGTGTTTCTTTGGATCTGTCTAGGTGCGTCAAATGGACTGGGTGGACATTGTCTGGCCACAGCACCTTAAGAAGGATCAGCGTGACAGCACCAACACTCTAGCTGAGATGAAATATCCCAAAGTGCAAAAGTAAGCAGATAATGGTGTTCACATGGTTTAGTTTCTGGTGCAAGAATGAGACAGATTTGAAGTTGTCTCCTGTAAACTGCTCAGAATTTCATGGAAGGCTAAGGGTTATAAATATAAGTTTCTGTATGTTAGCCTATTTTACAAATTAGCTGTGGCCCTGAAGTGATGTTGTAAATGACCTTTAGGCCTGTGGTTGATTTCGTTTTGAGTTGCTTCCAGTTAATTATGTTGGTAGAGACTATCAGTAGTTTTACAACCTCGTTGGGGCAAATTGGAGAGTGTTGCAGAAGTGGGAATGTTCCTTTCCCCACTGGAGTGCTCCTTTGGGAACACTGTGTTTTCATCAGGGATTTACTGCGTTCCTGTTGGAAACACACTGTGCACACCCATAGACCCAGAGCAGTGGGTGTTTTCCATTGGAACACGTAGTGCTCTTGTTGGAACTGTTGGAACGTTGATTAGTGTTCCGACATTATGGAGATGCTCCTTCAGTTCCAATTATTATCAAGTATACGTGACGCACTCCACGTCTGCCCTTGTTGGTAAGCATGAGTGACCTGTCTCCAGGGAAGTTTGCAACCCAACATCATGTTAGAAATTTGAAAATTGTTTTTCTGCCCTCATTCATTGAAATCGTGTCTCCAGCTTAAAGCTGATCCATTGTGTAAATCGTGATATTCTCTTTTATCATTAGGTATTGCTTGATGAGTGTGGCAGGGTGCTACACGGATTTCCACATTGATTTTGGTGGCACCTCAGTCTGGTACCACATCCTTCATGGTCAGAAGGTGAGTCAGAGGGTGTAGTCATTCTCTTGTAGTCTCCAAGAACTAATGAAGTTTGTTACATTGCATTGGTATGAAACTGAAACCCTCTCATTTCTTGAAGCTGTGAAAGAAATACAATAAGATAATATCGCTTGATGTATGCCACTGCTAGCAATGTAGTCATAAGATTCAAAAGCGGAGCGGTAGGCCAATCCCTGGTTTGTCAGATATTCATCCCATTTACCAGCTGAACAGCTAGAACTGTTAAGATTTTTGTTAATTCCCTATTATCCTCACTGGTGTTTTCCTTCCAGGTGTTTTGGTTGATTCCACCGAGCGAGGACAACCTAGAACTGTACGAGAACTGGGTCCTGTCTGGCAAGCAGGCCGACATCTTCCTCGGGGACAGGGTCCGAGAATGCACCAAGATTGTCCTGGAGGCTGGCTACACCTTCATGATACCCAGCGGTGAGGTCAACCTCCCTGTAGCCCACCTCCTTTCTCAACCTAGACATTTGGCTTGCCTGCGGGCTTTGTCCTTGAATGGCACAGACGGTGATTTGTCGCCAAAGTAGAACATGATGAGCTGGTTCCTGGCCCTTCTATCGTATTCTTGCCTCAGAAAAGAGGAGAGAAGGAAGTCAGCCTAGAATTGGAAATATGTATCTCGATCAAATTTGCTTTTTTCTGAGTGAAGTAAACAGGTGCATAAAAATTACATCCAACTTCCTTGTAACCAGTAGACTATAATTTATAAAAACACTTGACAACTGCACTTTTAGAAACCTCAGGTAATGACAGCAGCATTGTATCAGCTATTGTGGGAAACTAGCCCTTCGCGGACTTTATAAACGATAGCCAGCACGGTGCTTTTGTCAGTAATGAGGGGGCTGGCTGCCTGAATGGTCAAGGGTCTTATGCCTAAACTTGCCAACAGTGCTCATTTAGACCAGTCGAATCGGCCCCAATATAGCTTATCTACAAGTTTCCCTGTCTTGCCCGTACACTTTGTATTTCAGGTTGGATACATGCCGTGTACACACCAGAGGACTCGTTAGTATTTGGTGGTAACATCCTGCACAGCTTCCACATACACCGCCAACTACGAGTAGCCCAGATTGAGGACAGAACACATGTAAGTTGGGCTTAGTCTTCTGTTAAATCGTCTTCAGCTCTGGAGTTGAAGTTTAACCACTTTGTGCCGGGGACATTTATAAATATTGACTCTGCTGGGCCGGGATATTTTTCTGTTTTAAGTCTTCTTAAAAAAATCATACCTTCATTTACTGGACACTTACACCCACGCTAAGGACTATCTGGTGGCTACTCTAATCAGACAGACAACATCTATTGATGCCCGAGTATTTCAGCCAGGCCAGCCGCCTTGTAAAAAGAGCCCAGATTGTGTGGTGTTACGTAATTTTCTTTTGTGCCCAAAACTGGCACAGTGCACCGCTGATGTCTTTTCGATAGGGACCAGATTAGCGTGTAGCGGTAGTGTGGCTCATCGCTGCGGTGGTGGAGCGCTTTTGTCCCTGGTGGTGATCCACTCGCACTGAATGCCCAAAACAGTGGTATACTGTTTCAAAAAAATGCTGGATTATCTTCACTATTGACAGTGAAAAATTGGTAATTCCCAGCAGCCTGGTCTTTTGTTACGAGTACGGTCTTTTGTTACAAGGCCCAGTTCCCCGATTTTGGAGAACCCGGCTGTGCATATAAAGAATACTTGTCCGAAACCGGGCACCCCGGCGTGGTGTGGTTTAAAAAAAACCTCTACAAAGACTTAGACATAGGATACCAGTAGCTTTGCTGTGGAAAAAGTTTTGTGTAAGAGTAGTGTGGAGGTATTTTACTGGAAATTAACACAGTTTCTTTATATCGATTTTAGTTCCTTCCAAAGGCATCTGATACATACAATTATCTGTACGTTCTATGATGAATTAGTTTATATTTAGATTGTATTTTCTAATATGCGATGTTAGTCAGCTGAGAAAATAGCAGTTTTAAAGTTGAAATGATTTGTGGACTTGTTAGTCAGCTGAGAAAATAGCAGTTTTAAAGTTGAAATGATTTGTAGACTTAATTGCCCCTGACAGCATAGCAGATATTATTCACTTTCTTTTTATTCCTTGGTTAGGTGCCATTCAAATTTCGCTACCCTTTCTTCTGGGAGATGAACTGGTATGCCCTGGAGCGTTACGTTCATACCCTGACGGGCAAATCATTTCTTGCAAAGCCCAAGGCAGAACAGTCCATGGTTCCTCCTGTCCCGGACAACTCAGATGAAGGAACAAATGATTCGATGGATGTGGAGAGTGAAGTAAAGGCCGAGGATACGGCAGAGGACATGGAGGTGGATAAGAAATTCCAGATCAAAAAGGAGCAGAGCGACGACGATGCATACTCGGATGTGGGTGGCAAGGACAGTGAGATTGCATCCTTGACGGAGGAGACGGGAGATTTGGATGTTGCCTCCCCAGCTGACACAGACAAAACGGAGGAGATGGACTTAGAGAAGATTGAGAGAACTGAGCCCGAGAACATTGAGGATCAAAATGACGGCAGGCAGAGCATGTGCAAAGTATCAGTGGATATCCACCAAAGCGGTGGCAGCAGTGGGATGCTGACCAACGGGGACCACCATCCAGTCGCAAAGAGCTCTTCCAAGAACCGCGCCTCTAGCATGAACGGTCTGAAAATAAAATCTGAACCTCCAGACAGGGACCTCCCTGATGAAAACCAGAGTGAAGCAGATGGATCGGAACACTCGTTTAAGCCAACAGTGAAGACAGAGTCAGAACAGCCTGAATTTAAAGTAGAGCCTGACGAAGAGGAAGGCACATCAACTGAGAGGCCAATGCGACCGCACGTCAGCTTGTGCCGGCATGAGTTGATAGGTCTGAGAGTTCTACATCATCAGTTGGAGAATCTGCCTTCCAACAAGAGGAGTGTTCCAGAGCTCATCACAGACCCTGACTCTCTGCTACAGCATGCAAAGGTAAATGTCCCTGAAGGGATCTTGGAAACATCACCGAGTGGTCCTGCAAAACCTGGAATGAACAGCACTGAGAACATGCACCTGCACCGAGAAAGATCTTTAATGCTGACTGTATGAACCCTCTTATTTTCCATTTCTAGGAGATGCTAGCTGAACATCTGGATGACTCCCAGCCGCTGGCTGTCACAGGAGAGGCAGTCCTGAAATGCCCAAAGTCTGTCCAAGCCAGAGTACATGTAAGTTTCAATCCTGGAGGATTTGGAGGAGTTTACAGGATTGATTAAGATGGAGTTTAGTCGCTACTGTTCAACTTGAGGCCAAGTGCCTCTTGAAAATGTTAGTATAGTTGATTCTTGGTATTACGAGCTCGGGTAAGACGAGACTCCAGGTTAAATGATCATATTTTGCCAGTCTCAACTGAATTGTGCACATTCCTATGAGGGAAAAAATGCATAAAGGAGCTCGGTTGTTCCAAGATTTTGGTTAAGATGAGCATTTTTAGCGCACCGGCAGAGTGCTAATCTATTGTTATCTGTCTATTTAGCACAAGTGATTTTTGAAGGCGACTTGTCAATCCGCCAGACCATTCAATTTTGTAAGGTGCTTCCGTAATTTATTCGTGTATAGTAGTACAGTGCTGCTCTTTTCCCTCACAAAATCAAACTGTTTGTGTCCGGTGCCGCAAGAGAGATGATCAGTTGGCATTTGCAGTTCCTGTACTCAACATAGAAATTCTTTGTGGCAGCTCTCTGCTGCCTGATCACAAGCGAGTGCTCCCAAAAGCACTACAATACTTAGGACAGTGGTGAACGAAAGAAATCTTTTGTTTGATTCCCCCACTCCCAAAACTCCCCCAAGACCAAGGAAACTAATAAAAATTGTGTTCTGTAACCAAGCACCTGGCCCCAAAAATTGCCCAAAAAAATCATTACCCGCTCCCCACTGTAACATGAAAATATCACCCATCCAATTTTAAAATTTCTGTAAATTCTCAATTTAATAAAATCATGACTAAACCATGGCTTTCAGTCCAAAAATGTTTAAGAAAATAACGTCCACAAATTTTGACGAAAAAAGTGCGTCCCTCGCTAATAATTTCTCACCAAACCCACACACCTTTCCAAAACGAAATACGATATTCACCCTCTGCTGTCCACACCACCAATAGCTGGTTTCCTCCCATTTTTATGTGCAACAAGCGCAGCTCTGGTATTGGTTACCAACTCACATGTTAATGTACTTACACTACGTGCTTGCGTGTGGATCTCATCACGGCGTGCGGGGCCAAGGATGTTTGATACAGAATCACTCAAAATCAACATGACTGGTTGAAAGTCCGCCTCCTCCATTCTTACATTTTATAATTATTCTTTATTACAAAGTCTTTATTCATTATACTGTACATATACATCTCAATTTCATAAACAAACTTTTTTGAAATCAAATTCATAAAATAAACGTACTTGCGTTTAAACAAAAAGTTGTGCATACTTGTACACATGTACGCTTTACCAACGGTCAATTGGTGATACATTTGTCGAGCAGGACGGCAGCTTTTGCGTAAGACGAGGTCCGGATAATACAAGCTAATTTTGGTAGTCCCAAGGCCCTCGTATAAACAAGAGTCGACAAAGAATGTGTCATTAGGATTTTGTGGAGTGTTGGATTTCATGGGCTTAAGGAAAGTTTCTGGGGAAAGGCGTGGGGATTTATGTTTATTTTGAGAATGATGGTTACATCTATGTAAAGCCTCTGCAACTCACTCCATCTATAGTGATTGCAAACATGTCTTGATGAGCTTTTGCATCCTGTCAGTGTATCCCCTGTTGGATGTGTCGACTGGCATTAACTTTATTTAAAATAGGAAGGTAAACACTGCTCTTTCCCACCCTAACCCTGCTAGACGCAGCAAAATGCATCAGGTGAAAAAGTCTGACGCACTTTGATGCTCTGGGCAATCAACAGCAGCCAAACAAACTGGCCATGTTGAGGCAACGGGAGCTAGTCACGCTGAGCAATGCCACTGTTGGATCTTGTGGTAAAAATCACCACAGACTCCAAGGCTGTCTTGCTTTGGGGAGAGTTGACCTGTTGGATCTTGTTACACTGGGCAGGCAAGCCACTTTGATAAATGATGCAGACTGCATGTGTCTGGCAGGGTTTCTATCCAAAGTGCCCGTGAAGGTTAGGGTTAAACACACGTTGGTACGGTATTGCTTCCAACACCTTCCAGTTCTGTGACTTGGGTTTGAATCCCGTCCAGGCCAACATGTGAACTGTGTTTTCACTCCCTTACCCAATTCCAAGGGTTTTACCTGGGAAATTCGCTACGTCTTTTCCTCCCACCTCTAAAACTAAGCTCTGAGTGATTTCTTCCCTGCACAGATTTCTTCAGGCCTGCAAGCTACATGCCACAGGCACTTTTGAGGAGTCCTTGATCTCATCATCAGTGATAACAATCTCACTAAGCTTTGCACTGTTGTTCCTATCACAGAAAACCCCGAAGCACAAGCTGTCCTGCGGCATGCGACCCGTCTCCAAGCGCCTGTCTAACGGGATCCGGCGCCGCCGGACGCGCTGCCGCAAATGCGAGAACTGCCTGAGCCAGGACTGCCGGAACTGCCACTTCTGCAGGGACATGAAGAAGTATGGGGGGCCCGGGCGGATGAAGCAGTCCTGCGTGGCCAGACAGTGCCTCTATGTGAGTGCTAGACCCGTGCCTGAAATGACTCGGCTACAGCTTCAGCAGTGCGTGCATCTATGGGAAGCCACTTGCAAGCGGCTACACCCATCACCCGCAGCTTGATGTCTTATAAAACTTGAATTACTTCATACTTTGTGATTTCCATTTTTGTGCTATTTGTGTCTTCTTTTATATATGACTCTTGAATGAGGAAAAATTACTCACATTGAACAGACGATGTTCGCTGAGCGAAGCGTAATTCTTTGCTTCTAAGGCGAGCTGAGAGCGTCTCAGAATTCAGACTGTGTTTGTTTGAACTGGAATGCTCCTTTTGAGTGAAAACAGTGAGTTTTCTTTTGAAATTTGCTGTTTGCTTGTCCTTATATGAAAGTATTGTCCTTAGGTGATGCTTGTAAAGGCATTCACCACCGTTTCCGTCTGGGAACATTTCGTTTGTTTGTTCCCAAGCTGTTTCCAATATTGGGGGGGGATATTTCCTGAATAAAACAAATCGTTTTCTGCGTCTTCAGTGGAAGACCACTACACTAAATGTGCCCATTTCTTCTTGCAGCCAATGTTGCCCCATAATGCCGTGTGTGCCATCTGCACCCGAGAGGAGCGGCTGGGGTCGTCGGGGGTCAAAGGGGACTCGGAGGTTAGCTCCCTCATGGAGTGCCACCAGTGCTATGAGATTGTGCACCCCGACTGCCTTGCCAAGCAGTTGATGTCGGAGTACGAGGGCGTGATCAATGAAGACCTGGCCAACAGCTGGCAGTGCCCCAAATGTGTGGCCAAGAAAGAGACCCAGGTGGGCGGATGCGTTTGATCATCGGCTTTGGCTGTTGAGTGTTTAGGTGCATGTGGCCGGTAGCCATAGCCATAGACAGACACACCTGATTCAGACAAGACTTCATGATTCTTTGTGGGAACTGCTGATCATGCTGTATACCCCACTTAATCACAAGAGTCATGGTTGACGTTTTGCTTAAAAGCGTATTATAGTATGTAGATTGTATGCTTTCAGCGGAATGTACACAAATTCGTAGTATTCTTTTTCACTTAGGAGGAATATGGCAGAGGGTTTGATATAATAGAAATGTATTAGAGTTCCAATCAGTAGCAGTCATGCCATACATTTGTACGTCCTACATACCAAGATCATAGTTGACCCATAGATGCCTAATAATGTATATTCAGAAGGCTCCCCGACAATGTTAAAGGTATTTGCGCAAGCCATTCATAAGAACCGTGGGCTAGGACTACATCTGCCATTCGTGAGTGTACAGTGACCCTGTGCTCAAGTTGGTTTGTAGCTACCCCATTGTTGTCTTGTGCCCCAGTGTTGGGGTTGGAATATGCATTCAAGTGTACTGCTGCATCCAAGGGATCAGACTAGTTTTGTCAAGAGGGGCCGTTTGACTTGCATCAGTATGAGAAGGGAAAACCCAGCATGTAAACTTTCAGGATATTTTACGGGCAAATTTGATTGAAGAAACGTGTGTGTGATTTAATGCTAAAAAGGTGGACCCACTTTTGACCAGACTGAGTTTTGTAAATCACAATTTCTGTTCCTTTTTTGTTTCAGGGTGAAGATAATGAAGAGTCAAATCAGAATGAGAAACCGGTAAAAAGGAAGAACGTAAGTGGTCATAACTGTCATTTATTTTGTCCAGGGAAAAGTGTCCACATAACAGCCCGTGCCAAGAATTTTACGTACAAAGCTATTTGGAAAATTCTGAAATAGTTTTTACAGTTGTGAGGCCTACATCATGAAATGAAGGCAGCAGCAACTTCAAAAACATATCTGTCCTCTACTCTGACAAACATCCAGTCCTCTCCTCTGACTGAGCATACAGTTGACCCCAAATGGCACATGCGTTATTGATTGCATGTTTGCTGTGGCCAGATGGAAGATCAGAGCAGGGTAACTTTTGGGATGGGATAACTAAGGTTATCAGGTGCACAGCACTGACGGTGGTTGAAACCTCACTCTACTCGACTTGACTTTCTACACACAAGAACAAGTTCTGACTCAAATAGGGAAGTCAGGAACAGGGATTTCTTTTGCCGTGTGTTTTGGCTGTAGTTTTCGCCCACCCCTTGTCCAGTGTAAAAGTCCTGTAGTGAGTTTTAATGTAATGGTATCTTAATATTAAACCAACCAGATTTGGTGTTCCTTTGACAGGAGGAGCCTAATATTGAAGATAAGCCCCTTGAGAAACCAAAGAGGGTAGGTATTCAGGAATCGAGATGAACAGAAATTCATTGGAAAGATCTTTGTAGAATTTTTTTAAAAGGATTTTGACCCCAAAGTGGTGGATTATTAGAGGTTAAATCATTCAAGTTCTTCTACGTTTTTGTACTTTGTACAACAAATCCAAATGTGAGATTCACACAGTCAGATCCATTTTAGAGAGAGTCCACGCCTTATTAGCCATTGTAAATCCTTCAAAATCACAGCGTTTCTTTCTTTGTCTTGCTGGATGTTTTTGCATGTCTTTTCATCCTGCCGGTCATACCTCTGAATTGCAATAAGCCTTTTGCGAGTTAAATTGGAATAAAATCTGGTGCACTGAGTTATCTGACTGCACATAAACATTACAATTGAATTTCCCCAGACTAAATATACTGTTGTTATACCTCATGATTCGGGGCACGCTTTTGCTTCGCAACCACCATCTCTGGAATGGACTGGTTCCTTTGTGCCCTTCTTATCCATTGAGAACAGTGTATTGGTGCAAGGCGTCTCTTATGCAACTAAGGAAAAGCTTGCCCCGAATCACGAGGTACAGCAATAGTGGTTTTAGTAAGGAGAATTCAAGTTAATTGTTATGTTCACGTGAATTTAAAGAACTCAGCCTACCAGATTTGGGTCAAAGTTAATTCGCAAAAGGCTTATTGACCTATCGCTGTTTGCGAGTTAGCCGCACCCCCAAGACAACTCTGGGGAAGTTTGTATGCTGAGTTTTGTTTGTCTTGGCTTTTGTGCATCTTGTGTCTATTTTGTATACCACGTAATTAAACCACAAACTACGTCAATGTGATTCTACTGAGATAGGTCAGTTGCTGGTGTGTGGGGAAAAAAAATGGATTTTGATTTCCAAAATCGATTGCAGGTTTAAATCTTGAAGGTTAACAATATTTTTAAGCTTCAGTTATCACATTTCTACTTTATTACTATGCAGAACTGGCTCTCTCAACAAATTTCTTATTCATATTTTATTGTAACTCATTTAAAAAATTGTCTATCTCTCCTAGGGTCGGCCACCGCTGCACAGGGCAGAGGTCAAGTCGAGCAGTCGGGTAAGGCCAAGGCTGAAAAGCCGACCCACACCAAACAAATACCTCAGATAGGCCGGAGTTTGAAAGCTGGCAACAAGCAGACTTGTCAAGCAGCATATTGTAATGTAGTCCATGTCTCAAAACTGAGACATCCTGGCAGTCTTCCGAACGTGGGCTCAAGGCCATTTATGTCCCTGAGCAAGATATTGAAGTTACATCAAATGAAGGGAGAGTCTCCAAACTCAAACCGCTCTCCATTCGGAATGGAGCGTATTCTCTATATGAACATGTTGGGAATGGTCTCTCTCTTACATAGTGTGGTCACAAATGACCAAGGCTTCCCATTAACAACACATGAGTACAATTTTACCGAGTTGCAAGGCTTAGCAGATTTGGTGTTAAAAGTAAAACTCAGCTGGTAGTCGGTGACAAGCCACTGTACACTACATGGCATCCTGGCTGGTAACCTATTCTTGCTTACCAAACCTTTCTTGGGCTTAGCAAAGCCCTATGCTGAAGGGCTTGTCCAAGTTTACTTGGCTGTGGCTCAAAAATACATGACTTTATGTAAAGTGGCTTCAACGCACTGTCTCAGACTCATGTGTAATTTCAAGCCATAGCCAAGTAATTTGGACGTCGTCTTTCAGTCAAGCCGTTCCCAATCACAGCAGGTTGTAATGTCTACAAAACTTGTTCAAGTGTTCTTGGTTTGGGACCCTCCCTCACTCTGTGAGCAAAGTCAATCCAAAGTTGATTACAGCCAGCGGTCTCTTTGTGCCCCTAGGCATTGGTCATTTTTTTTTTGTGTAAAGCACGCCCTCTATATAGCACACACCACTTTGGAAAGCGGTGGCTTATTGGTACGCAGATTTTATGATGCATTAGCTCCTTTGGAAGGATTTGTAGTAAAACTGAAATCAATTTTCTGAGGAACTGTTAAATTTGAAATAGGCCATGAGGTACTTTTGGGCCATCAGAAACTCCCGTTCATGCTTAGAGAAACTTGTTGAACAGAAGTGAAGTTTTTGGAAGTATAATGTTTTTCTTACTCTGCTGTTGAAGAAAAGTTGACAATGATACTGTTAATTCTGGACTATGTGCTTGCCAATTTGTCTGTTGACAGGTGAACAAGGAAAGTTTGAGGACCTTTTCCAGTTTGGCAAAGTCACAGTAATTGGCACACGAAAGAAATACAAAAACAGTTCTGCCCACTTTTACAAGAAACCAACAGATTGTGTAAGCACAGTGGGAATTACTGAAGTTGGGTGAGGAAATTTGAGCGAAGCAGGAATTTGGAGTTGAACTGGTTGAACGACTTGTGTGCAAGGCAGCCTTTTTCCATTGTCTGTGTGCCTGCCCACTTGGGGGCGCTTTCCTCTTATATTGGAGATATACACTGAAGTTCATATTCTTGATTTTTTTTTTCAAATTGTGTCAAAATATTCTGTCATGTTAATTTTTAATCCACAACTTCTAAACGGAAGTGTCCGTGCCCTGAAAACATAAATGCAGCTCTTAAAATATATTCACCTCCATCTGTGTTCCCATTAAGAGCGCCATCTTAGGGTACAATGTATATTGCTTCATGACTGAGTCTTGCGAAATTGACAGATGGTCATCCATATGCTAAATACTTTACTGGTGTGTTTACCCAAAGAGGACTCCGTTGTACAGAGTTGTAAATATTTTCCTACTGTCAAGGCCATTTTGTAATGTTTGATTTGGTGTTTCAGAACTAGAGATGGTTGGAATGTTTGTATAAATTGGTAGAATGATGGCTCTGCTGGGTTGCATTTTTTGAATGTTGAAAAAGTTCGGAGTTGGAATCAGGACCAGTATTATTCGTAGTTCCGTATTCCAGTAATTACTTTTACTAAGGAATGACATTCTTTGGTTCCTTGGCGGTGGCTATTTGGATTGCACTGGAAAAGTTCAGGAGTTCATGTTCTGTGGATTACTGCTTAGTATATCTCTCCTTTGTTGACATGGGACGTAAAGGTTCGAACAGTGATCAATGTGAACTGTGGGACCAGTCTTTTTCACTTAGTTTGTAAACGATAAGTGATAGATAACCAGTGAAGCTTACCTTAACCTCATCCAGGTCTGTGGTGATGCTAAATCTCTGAGCATATAGTAGGCATTGCTGCCAGCGATATCCCTAAAACTATCAAAATCCTCTATTGCGCCAAAAGTATTGGCACTTTCTTTATACTGAAGGCCCATGAAAAGTGCCTGACGTGCGCCTTCATCAAACCTGGTGAATTTTGACGGATCTTGGAAGTGGTTGCGTGAGCTTTAAAGCCTGTTTTATACTTTTATGGCAGGAATTTTCCACAAACTAAACATTGTGTCATCAGTAATGTAACAATTTTCTAAACCTCAGCGTTGTCGTGGTTGATGTTTCCAAAGCTGCTAATCGAAAGCCGATCCCAAGCCAGGGTCATGACTGTGACTTAGCCAGGATACAAAGGATATTTTAATAAACTGGTCCTATTCATTTTCTTCCTCTCTCTTCCACTAAACAGCCACACCACTTTGAAAAGGTTAACCCTAGGAACTAAATGTAGGGGAATTATGTCCATAAATTGAAGTCAGTGATGGTGTAGATGTGGTAGCTCATTAATATTTATGAGGAGTAGGTCTTTGATTGGTTGATATCCAAAGCAACTGGGAACACAGTTTAATTGCTGTTATGTATCAATGGTCTTTGCTGGGCAAGTGAAACTTACAGAGGATTAGAACAACAAAATTCCCTGCAACGCAGTAGCTTAAAGTGCAGTGCATTTATTTGTGTAAATGAGGTGCAGGTAGTGGAAACAACTGTAATCTTAAACATGGCTTTTATAGAAATTAAGGAGTCCCTCCAGCTGGCAGGAAAACTTCAGTACAAGAACCAGAAACTTTGGTTAATTTGTCATAGCATGTTCTCCAATCCTGTTATTTGGGTCACAAAAGTAAGGAAAACTCTGCTTACCCCTGACAGATTCTTAAAGCTAATTTGAAGTTTATGTTTATGCGTTGTAATGATTAAATATGGGCTGGGTTTTCCCACCGTACAACTCTCAACTGTTGCAAGCAAAAGATCATTTAAGTTAATGAAAATATTCATTTTGAAGCAACTGTGTGTCCACTTGGGCACCACTGAACAAAGTTTGTTAGAGAGCATGACCTAGATGTGTGTACCAAGTTGACAGCAAGTCGTTTTAACTAACCTTGTGTGCAGGTGCGGCTCGACTTTGTCACTGCCGAGGCACACTTTTATCCTGAAAGAGACAATACTTTTGTAAGAGTCATAGGCTGTATGTCATATACACAGCAGATGCATGCCATATGTGACCGGCTCTAGAAAAATGGGTATTAAGTCGCCAGATTCAGGTTATGAGTTGTTGATATGGCTGGATTATGTACATCAAAAGCTACAATTTGATATATGAATGACCCATGTAGTGTGCTGCATTCTGGAGATATATGGACATTTGTATGTCCACATTTTCGGATTCAATAGAAGCACTTTTCAAGAAAAAGCTCAGAAAGTGTAGCACTTGTAAACACAATGCTATGTAGGATTTCTTACTAAATGATCGATTTGTCATCTGTATTCATCAGTATCAATGTTTGTAGTCGCAAATTTTTAAAAAACAAATTTTTTATAGAAGCTATTAAAGGAAAACCACAAAATTACATTTTTGAAGAATTTTTGCCCTCTCCAAATAGAACCAATCATAACATGTTTTGGCATTGCGCGACTTATTACCCTTTTTTGCAGAGCGGGTCACATGTGTATCTCTGGGGGTTGGAATTTTCTTGGGACCCCCCCCGAAAATAACCATGCAAAGCTCATGGAGGCCATAAAATTAATGAAAGCATTGTGGTTTTTCTACCAGAGCAAACCTCCATCAAACCAAAACAGCTGCATAATATTGGCCTTGTCGTCATTGACCAATCACAACCAACTGTTATAGGCTGTGATGATGTCATTGGTCCATTCATGTTGTGGAATAGTATGTCCTTGCCCACGTTTCCATTTAAGCAGACAGCTAGTACATGGTAGAATGTATTGAACATATTAAGATACTTTATTGCTCTCTCAATTTCATTCTGGTTTAGAAGAAATTTATCACATTAGGACAGAAATACCCTCTGAACCAATGGATTAAGTTTTGTAAATTTTTCTACCATAACATAGTGTGCTATTGAACTCTCATCAGATAAGCCAATTTGATAAACATGTAGATCTTTAACATTGTTAATTTTTGGATTTTGCTGTGATAAGTTCTCTGACTTTTGTGCAGATTTTTGATATATCATGTTTTCATACAAGCCATCATTTGTCAGTTGATGGTAGGACCTGAATTTCAGCAATAAAGACCTTTTTTGGTTTTAGAAACAAGCAGAAGTGTGTTCCCAGTTGCTTGATTTTTGCCTGGTTATGTTTATGACTTGAAAACTGAAACAATTACGTCTTGCTTCAACAGCTGGGCATGAGCAGAGGGCTTGGTGGGTATGGCAGCACCATGGGCTTCTACAAACCGGGTCTGGGTACCAGACAGCAGCTACTGGCAAAGCAGAAAGTCCGGCAGGCCAGAATGCAGAGTCTTCGTGGAAAGCAGCGACGTTTTAGCCGAGACAACAGGGAGTCCGTCAACCAGAACTCTCCAACGGAGACATCGGTAGCACAAGAGAACACACCAAATGATGGCGACCCCACGGATAAACAGCAGGAGACTGTTTACATGCAGAAAAAAACGCCTACCGTTTTCCCCAAGTTTGTGGTCCGCCCCCTCCCGACCACCCAGCCCCCAGAGTACTTTGCTCTGACAAGCGGGAGCAACCACTGCCTCTCAAGGGGCACCTGGATGAGAGTCTTTCGCACGCTGAGTCAAAGTGACCTGTGTCGTTGCCTGCGCGTCTGTAAGACCTGGAACTGGTGGTGTTATGAATCTTCCCTCTGGCATAGCGTCAGTGTCTCCAAGATGTCTTTGGATAAGTACATCCTGGCAGGAGTCGTGCGTCGACAGCCAGTCTGCCTGGATCTGAGCGGCTCGGACATGACCAAAGTGCAGCTAACCTGGTTAGTGGCTCGCCTGCCCTCCTTGAAGGAGCTCCGCCTGGCCCAGGTGAAGCTCCAGGCCACCGAGGCCCTCTGCTCGGCCAGCTGTCCACAGCTGCGTCTGCTGGACCTCCAGTGGGTCAGCTTGTGCGACGGTCACCTGGCGGCCTTGCTTTCACCGATCAAGGATCACCACCCAGGACTTGTGGACGATCGCAGCAAGCTGCGAAAGCTGCAGGATCTGCAGTTGGCCGGTAGCGACATCACCGATTTGAGCATGGAGGTCTTGGTAGAGCAGACACCATTACTTGCCAAGCTGGACTTAAGCTACTGTGGGCTGATAACCAGTCAGGGGATTGCTACTTTGCTGTCAGAAGACTCCCCACTGATTAACACTCTCACAGGTAAGATGCAAATGGAGATGTGGTACCACACCTGAATGTGTTTCAAAATCTTGAATGGTTCAACTCTGGAAAGAGATGGATCCTGATTATTTGCAATAAATAAATTTTGGAATTGATTGGCTTTATGGATTGGCTTTTTGGATTTGATGGCTTTATGACACAAATTTGGACATGTTTGTAGATAAATTTTCACATACATAGCAGTAGTGATTAAACTTCCTTTTTAAATATTGTGGGAAGATTCTCAACTGAAGGATTTTTATTGACTTGACTGAATGTGCTTGCTTGGAAATCTTCTTTCTTTTCCAGATCTGAATGTCTCTGGATGCCACAAGCTGTTAGACACCTGTTTAGTTAGCCTATCCCGTTGCAGCAAATTAAAGAGGGTGATTGCGTGCTCCATCCCTAGACTCACCAAGACACAGTGGACAGACTGGGCTGTCAACAACCAGGTCAAGCTTGAACTGTAAAAGGACTGAGGCAAGTCTAGTATTTGAATCCAACGTCAAGACTGTATGTCTGTATTTGAAACCGAGTGCGAGTTTGGAGTCACTTCAAGCTTTTTTTCTTTCCTCCCGATGTCCACAAGCAAGTTTTAAAGTAATGGCACCAATGGTCAGTAAATATGAAGTACAGCGGCATTATAAGCTGGAAGAAAAGGATCAGGGTAAAGCAGTGGACGGCATGTATGTAGTTTGTATAGTTGGATGTATTTGTTCTGACTGCTGGTTCTGATGTCAACGCTGATGTCATTTTCTCACCCTCCCCAACGTACCCCCCCTCCCCCAAAAATGGAAAAACCTTTATTTTGATTTTTCTGTGCATGACTCAATCCCACCTGCTGGAGTCAAACATAAGAAAGAACACTGGTGGGGGATTCATTCATCTTGGGGTGGGGGGGGCAGGCTAGGAGAGGCAGAAAAACTCTCATGCTGCTGTCTGGAGTCAGTCTGAATGGCATCTTTAAGATGCAAGACTTCCATCTTCAAAACTCCTTAGGTGGAAATTATAAATCACAGCAACAATCACGGCAAACATTTTTGAAATACACCTGTTTATTGAATAAACGGTTGGTTTTCTTGGCAGAATAATTTCACCTAAGCTTTCACAAAATTGGCTGTTTTAACGGGTATAAAATTAAATTCCTTAGAAGTGCATAGATCTTTAAAAATTTGCATAGTACATATTCATTTTTTCAATCAAGTCACTCATTAAATCTGGTTATGAAAGAACTGGTATCAAAATTTATACAAAAAGTCTGGATAGACACAAGAAAAGTGATTACCACAAGATCCTTTTTATGACTAAGTTCTCTCTTCTAATGTTTATTATTTAAAATCACCCCTCTAATCCCTCTTACAAAATATTTTTGACAAACATACCTTCACAGTTTCTTTATAAACACTTTAGAAATCATTTATCCTCAATAGAGATCACAATCTCAAAGGCCAAACTTACGATGGAAATAAAAATCAGATAATTCAATAAAAAGTGCTGCAGAAAAGAGTTTATTAAAACAGGAAGTCGAAATTTGTCTTTGACAAACCTGATTAAGCATGTTATATTTCAGTTCCTCCAATAAGATCTGAGAAAGTACTGTTAAGTTGCTGAAATTCTTTACAGTCTGGAATACCTGGATTGCGTTGTGCATTGCTGATGTACATTCAAAATGAAACACAAAAACCACAACTAGTGCATGTGGAGTGATGCTTTTAAAAAT